AATTATCCTCAACAAGCAGCTCCTCACTAGCCAGGAAACTGGGATTCACTTAGTTCGTATATCATGAAGCTTCTGGGTTTTCAAGAGGCCTCCTATGTTGTTACTCAAGTTCTCTTAAAGTCAATACACTATACGTGGACAATACAATCCATCTGATTCGTCTAGAAGTAATAAGTCATTCTGTAACAATAAGCCCTTCCTCTCTAAACACATGCAAAACTTCATAAATCATTTTGACCTAATCGACTTTGACTTTATAGGCCCCCCTTCACATGGACTAATGGCCAGCAGGTTCAATAAAAGTCTGGAAAGATTGGACAGAGCCCTAGCCGTCCCAACCTGGTGTCAGCTGTTCCCAAATTCTATGCTCCGGCATTTCCCCATTACCAGTTCAGATCATAGAGCTATCTCACTCAACACCAAATCGGTATCTCCGCAGAGGAGACCTCTCTTTCATTTCATGCATTTCTGGACTGACCACCCACAATGCAAGCAAATTGTCCAAGACCTGTGGAGCCAGCATATATAGGGTTCCCCTGCCCACAAAATCGTTACCAAGCTGAAATCATGCAAGTCTGTTCTCAAATCCTGGAATAAAAGCCACTTTGGCCAAATCCAAGATCATATTCGTAAGCTGGCTGACCAAATTTCATCACTTCAAATGACTGGCCCAAATGATAATCTTTGGACGAAAACACTAAATACTTTCACCACATGACAAATTTTAAAAACACAAAAAATAATTCAGTATGGTTAAAATCTCCTGGACCTCTAACCGTACTAACATTGCCCAAATTTTTAAGCAATCAATTTTGGATATTGGGGGTCAACAAGAAGTTTTCGACCCAGGTGTATTGGACACAGTCCAACTGCCTATTTATCTACAACACAGGACTCCCTGCTGCTCCCACCCACAGTAGAAGAAATTTCGGTGGTGATCCAACAATTGCACCTCTCATAAAGTACCAGGGCCTGATGCGTTTATAGCTTACTTCTATCAGTATTTCTGGGATCTGATCGGCACTGATGTTTCTGCCATGGTACTGAGTTCTTACCAAAAGAAATCAACAATACAAATTTGGTCTTCGTACCTAAAAAAAAGCAATCGGTGGATGTCTCATATTTCCGCCCCATTAGTTTATTACCAAGTGGATGGTCCTTCCACATCAACCCGTACTACAGGAGCTGATATCTCCCTTCCAATCGGGTTTTCTTAAAGGAAGACACATTTTAGATAATATTCTTCTGGTGAAGGAGATCATGCACAAGCTAAAGTTTCAAAAAAGAGGTAAGGGCTTCATTGCCCTAAAGTTAGACATGTCTAAGGCATTCGACATAATGGGCTGGAAGTTTTTATACCATGTTCTCCAAAAAATGGATTTCCCCATGAAATGGTGCAACATGATATATCAGTGCATATCTACTGCCTCTTTCTCAATTAAAATTGCAGGTGAAGCTCATGATCATTTCAGGCTGAGCCGCAGTGTTAGACAATGAGATCCTATCTCCCCATATTTGTTTCTCATAGGCATGGGGGTTCTCACTCAACTTTTGAACCAAGCATCAACCTTTGGACAGCTTGAGGGAGTTAGAATTAGTCAAAATGGTACCCCTATAACTCACCTCCTTTTTGCAAATGATTGTATTCTTTTCTACAAAGCTGACATAGCACAGGTAAAAACCCTGGTCAATATCCTAAACACTTTTCAAAGTATGTTGGGGCAAAAAATCAATTACTCCAAGTCAAATATCTTCTTTAGTAGAAATGTTCCTCGACGCCACTGTAAATTCCTCTCTCACATCCTACGAATAAGGAAACCATTTATTGGTACCAAATACCTTGGAGTTCCAATGGGAACAAATACACGACTTTGTTCTTCAGATAAGGAGATTATTGACAAGGTATCTTTTAAAATAAGCTCCTAGAGCTCCAAACTGCTATCACAAGCTAGTAGAATAACCTCAGTCAAGTCGGTCCTCTAATCCATACCAATATACACCATGTCAACATCAATCCTACCGAAAACAACAGCCTCCCAACTAGACAAAATGACAACATCATTTTGGTGGGGTGATAAAGATAGAGCTTTCTAGACATACCCATCCCTTGGAGTAAGCTATGTCAGCCAAAAAGTCAAGGAGGTTTGGGTTTTAGATGCTATGGTACCATGAATCAAGCCATGTTCGGGAAGCAAATAGGAGGCTTTTTTTTTATCAATAACACTTTCATTAATTCATCAGTAGAAAATTTACAAGTAGAAGACAAACATACTTATCTTCCAAGAGTCACAAAGAGTTTCAAGAAAGGAAAAAATAAAAAGACACTAACGTTACAGCTTAGCCCAAAACAATGAATCCCTTTCTGCCCATTGTTTAGCTAAACCGTCAGCTAGGGAATTAGGCGATCTTTTAATCCAACATGTCTTAACTTCCATCTCCCGCACCAGCCACTTGAATTTCCTCCTCTCATTATTGTACTTCCATAAACCATTTTGATCTTTAGTAGTCACCCTATCACCACTTCTAAATCCCCTTCAATTATGAGTTTCTTGATGTTCAATTCCTTAGCTTTCCGGACTCTTTTCATAACTGCAAAGATCTCAGCTCCAAGGGAGTCACCCACTCCAATTGGGCCTGAGAACATAACAGAGATGACCCCATTTTCATCCTTAAAAACATCCCCGATCCCCGATTTTCCCGGGTTTCCCCTACTACACCCATCAAAGTTTAATTTCAAGAATCCACTAGGTGGGGGAGGGGGGGGTCCAAGCCACACTCATTACTGACTTGGTCTGCGTGCAATTTGCAATTTCACCCCACTTCCTCAACATGTCATCCACAGTGTAATCTGTGAATAGTTCCAAAGATTTCAGCCACTGTACCGCCCTAATATGTATGATAGCCCTCAGATTTGCTGCTCTTCTCTGAGTTTGAGAATATCCTGGAGTTTCTTTCTTCCCACAGTGTCTAACATATTGCAGCCCTTAGTCCTCTCCACATTGTCTTTCCCCTTTGTATCCACCACCTGAAAAAGGAAGGGGAGAATAGGCCTTGCAAGTCTGGTGGGGGATTCCAGTTGCATCCAAATAAGGAGAAAGCCCAATCCCAAATTGACCTCGCGAAGTGGCAAGACACCAGTAGGTGAAAACTAGTCTCCCCATCCGCTTTACACAGAACACACTACTGAGGTGACAAGCAAGTATTGGGTCTCTTCTTTTGGAGTAGATCACCAGTGTTGATTCTTTACAGATAGGCTTCCCAACAAAAACTACCAACCCTAGGGGGTATAGCTCTGCACCAAACCTCATCAACAGGGAAAGGGGGAAGGGTAGGACTAGTGGACTAATTTAAGACTTTGAAGAACGAAACACAAGAGAAAATGCCATTAGGGGTAGGTGTCCAAATTCTAGAATCCGCCCTAGTGGGGTCTAAGACAATATTATCAAGAAGTGCAATAAGGCTCGAAATACTGTCGAAATTTGAGTCCCTCAAATTCCTTCTTAGACCCAAGTTCTACCCAATCTCATAAGTGGAAGAGGACGGGGTGGTGAAATACGAGATCGGCTCATTTTTCAAATCAGAAAGAGCATACAAAGACGGATGGATTGGAGCACAAATCAAGTCAAAATACTTCCCTCATACCTCATTCTTTGCATAAAAAAAGGTCATCGTACTTCTCAATGGTGGCAACAAGCACATCAGTTACTACCACTGTTGCGCTTGAATTTTCTGTGGTCCATCAAGGATGGATTGGATGTCTCTGCTACTTCGGATCCTTGGATCCCAACATTGCCTGGACAAATACCGCATCTCAATACACCCTCAGCTCAAGCTAGGGCGCCCAACCTGAAGGTGTCAGAGCTTCTCAACCCAAATGGTTCATAGAGACTCTCAACACTTCAACAACTCTTTCCACCTTCCACCATTCAACATATCGTTGCAATACATCTAGAGCCAAGTCAATCGGCTGAATTACTTACCTGGAAAAACAACTCTTTCGGTCATTACATAGTTAAGTCAACCTTTCATCTCTTCTCATCATTGGGTGCATCAAGCTCGACCACTCATTTCAAGTGGAAGCTGATCTGGACTCTCAAAATCCCATTTTGGTTCCAAGTCTTCCTTTGGAAGATCCTCTGGGATGGACTATTCACAAAAAGCAAGTGCTCCTGGTTGCTTGAATCGGATAAACTTTGTATATTCTGTAAGGATCATGTGGAGTCGACTCACGACCTCTACTTCCAATGCTCATTTTATGCGGGCTGTTTGGTGTGGAGCCCATATTGGCTTAAATCCTTCCACAATACCACAGATTCCCATTCACATCATCATCATCCAAGAATGGTATAATTCATTGTCTCAAAACCTAGGGAAACAACAAGCATTAATGAGCCTCAACAAATTTGCAATAATTATTTATTGCATATGGGAAGCTAGAAACAAATGGACTTTCGAGAATGTTAGGAGGAGCCTTCACAAGTGGTAATTGTTACCCCAACACCAACACATGCAACACAATAACCTACCCACCTTATATATTGATGGTTCTTTCGATCCAGTTACGGGTCATGCAGGACATGGGTTCATCCTCCAACATGCCAATGAGCAATCCATCAATGCAGAAGGCAGACCCTGTTAGGCCGTCAGTAGCTATGATGCTGAAATATGAGCCCTGCTGAGAGGGCTCCAAGTGGCACTCTCAAGAGGAATATTGCATCTTTTGGTTTATACAGATAGCACAGCATTAGCTTAATTTGCCAACAAAGATCAAGTAAATCACTGGATAGAGCAGCTGCATAGGAGCCATATAAGAAGATTAATATCCTCTTTTGAAACTATATGTTTTGTACATATACCTAAACACTACAACTAAGCAGCCCATCTTTTTGCTTATATATCCTGTAAGGGCCAGCTAAACGTACACTATAGCACCTCAGCTCCGAATCATGTAAGTTTTTCTATATGATATAATAGAAAGATACTTCTTTGCACAAAAAAAAAAAAAAAAAACAAAGGGAGACGCCCGTTTGAATTTGAGGGATTTGAGAGGAGCTCGACGTGGCCTTTTTTTAAAGTCGTGAATGCAGAAAATTTTCTGCATTGTGGGTATAGAGTCTGTAAACTGTAGAGTTGCGAGTTCGATTACTAAACACTACGGTGACAGTGTGGCTGGCTTTTTTTTGTTCAAGTTAGTACTTTCAATAGAGGGAGAGAGCGCGGTGCAGTGCCCTCTACTCTCTTACTGACCCCGATTGTATCAACACCGCTGTCGGAGGTCGTGTCTTCAGTTATTATGGACCTGGACTTAGACGACCTAGGCATCGAGCGCCCCAATGGCTCAAGCCAGGCAGCTTCCAGAAAACCCTCAAGGTTCCTGCCCAAATCATCAAAGCCGAAGCTCCAACCGAAACCAGAACCAGTATCAGAATCAGAACCTACTGCCCTTCCTGTAAAGAAACAAGAAGATTCCCAGCCATCACTCGATGCCACTGTCAAGGCAGCCTTTGAACCCTCGCCACCACCATCTGCTTCATCGACTCTCAATTTTATGGCCAAAGAGGAGGTGGAGCCGAAGGCGGAGGAGGCGAAGGAGGTCCCCATGGAAGAAGACGGTGACGAAGATCGAGTTGTTCGCCAAATTGATGTCTTCTTTAATCCTCCTCCTCTTGATACCGATACTCAAGTAGGCCTCACAAATGCATACAGTCTCTACTTCCATATCCGATTGGATTGACGTGTGGTTATGCCTTCTTACATTTTCCTTTTTTTTTTTTTTTCTATATTTTACTTACAGTTGTATGTTCTTCAATACCCTCTTAGACCTTGTTGGCGTCCTTACGAACTGGATGAGAGATGTAAAGAGGTCTATATATAGATTTTTTATAAGCGATATTCACTTTGCCATTTGACATTGCTAATTGTTTATGGTTTGTTTATTGGATGTCTCATTAATGGATATTGCCATTCAGGTTAGAATAAAACCAAAATCTTCAGAAATTGAAGTTGATTTGCGCACTTATGATGGTGATAACTGTAACAATGATGATGCCGACAAGAATAGGAAAATGACAAAGCAGGTTTGTTGGTAAATGGTTGTCTTTGTTATTTCTTATAACCACATTTGAATATTCTTTTGCCAATTGTTATTTGCATCTCTTCTTCTTTTTTATGTTTTTGCATATCTGGTGTTTAATCATATATTCCTTTGCCCAAAGAGTTGAGCTACTAAATATCCAATTGAGTATAGAAGAAATCGGAGGTAGAGAAATCTAAAACAAGAAACAAATAACTATTGGGATAGAGTGAGCAAGTAAAAACAGAAAATCCTGAATTTTGTATCCGTCAGAGTTCATCGGATATTTCCTCTGTTAAAATTGTTAATTTCACCTTTTTTTTTCACGTTGTAGAGCAGTTGTGCTCTGTTTTGTTCTTTATATTGCTCCATTGCTATGATCAACTGGACCATTTTAGTTTTAGTAGTGATTGAATCAATGACCAATGGGACAGAGTGAGCTCACTTTTGGAAGTTAAAACTTAAAACCTTATGGAGCTTCTGTCCTAGTCTCACGTGATTAATTGCAGGAACACATCTTTACATAAAATCACCCTTCAACTGAGGGGGAACTGCTCCCATCTATAGTGCAGCAAAAACAGATCATCATAGGACAGAAAAATAAATAATACTAGAAGGCTATAAATTAGATGGATGTTTAAAATTTTATAATTTTGGTAAATTGTCTGCTATATAAAAGTTTTTTTTTTTTTAGGAAAAAGGTAAAGTATTGTATTACTCAAAAAACAAACCAAATCTGCACAACAAGGAGCTGTACAGTGCCCAAAGATATCTGTACATCTTCTAATTTGTATATTCTGTGTGCATAGATACAAAATGTGCTCCAGAATAAAAAAAGGAGCTATAAGGCCTATTCATGAACAAATTGTGTGTTCCTATCCATGAATACAACCTACCCCAAAATCCTTTCAGTAAATTCTTTTCTGGAATGAACTTGTTTTTCAAACAGTCTTTTGTCCTTTCCGTCCAAATTGGCCAAACCAATAAAGCTGGTCCTGCTCCCCAAATAACCTTGCTTTCTTTAGAAAGACCTTTCAGCTGCCAACTCCTTAGAACTGCCAATAAATTTTCGTGAAAAAAGCAATGAACTTCAAACAGCCCCAAAAATCTTGCCCAAAGGTTTCTTGCAACTTTGCAGTGAATTAGCAAATGCTTTGAATCCTCTGAAGCTCCCCCACACATTACACATCTTCCAGGCAGCAATTCAGACCTTTCCTAGCCAAAACATCCGCTGTCTATCCAATACTGCCACCAATAATAAAAAAACAGCTTTTGGAGGAGTTGCAGTATTTCCACACTTTGGCTGCATCTTACCTCTATGAGCTTACTGTAGAAAGATTAAACTGTGAAATTGCCTTCTTTATCCAATATCCAGCATCTCCATATACTATCAGGTGTGATGGCAGAGATTTGCTGCATCAACTCCATCCACATCTCAACCTCCCAGTCATTTAAATTCCTTCTAAACATAGGGCACCAAACTGCTGAACCTCCTACCCAAGAGAAGGCCTCAGCAACCAGACACTCTTTGTTCTGTGCTATCTCAAGGAGGATAGGCAAGCTTCTTTAAGTGGATGATCACCACACCAAGAATCAGACCAGAATTTAATTCTAGTGCCATCTCCCAGTGTATACTTGATTCATTTTCTAAATTCCACCCTCTCCAAACAGCACACCCATAGGGCAGCTTGTCTCTCTCTGTTACCAGCCTAAATCCCTTTCACCATATTTGGCTAAAATTATCCTTCTCCATAAAGCATTGGGTTGCTCATTCCATCTTCACAGCCACATGGCAAGACAAGCCACATTAAACTTCCTAATCTTCCTCACTCCAAAACCATATGCTTTCTCTGGACTACACACTTTGCTCCACTTAACTAGATGCAATTTAAAATCCGTCTTCCATCCTTCCCATAGAAAACCTCACCTTTTCTTTTCAATTGCCTAGCTGAAATGAAGAACAGTGATAGTAGGTAAGTATTGGTAAAAGAAAAAAAAACAATGATAGTAGGTAAGTGGGAAGGGAGTAAAGAACACTCTTTATCAACACCAACTTCCCACCTTTTTACAAATATCTCCCTTTCCAAGATTCTGACCACAAATATCTCTCCACCCTTTCCACAATCGGCTCCCAAATCTTATTTGCATTGCATTCTCCCCAAAAGGCATACCCAGGTACCTTGTGGGCGGCTTGTATTGATAGAAGATGTAACAAACCACTTAGCATTTGCAAGGACCTTAGATCTTTTATAGTGGATTGGGCTTTGTTGCATAATGATTTCAAAGATAAAAAAAGGGATTTTGAAGTCAAGTGGGGGGGTCAAGGATCTAGGTAGTACTTAATTGTAATTTTTTGTATTCTTTTTGTGATATTTGTGTAAAAAAATTTGATCTTTTTATAGGACACATAGTACTGATACCTAAAGGAACTGTGCAGACCTATCCAAACTTGATCAAACTCTGACAAGAGGTGTTCATTATGTGCCATTGGCCTGTTGGTCAGAACTGACTCAACTAGTCCTGAAAATACAAGAACTAATAACGTCATAACTCTCTGTAGCATAGCTTATTCCCCGGAAATTTAACTACTTCTATTAGTAACTGTTGAATTATGGTGTGGCACAAGGATATCTGATTGATTTTAGTCTCTTATTTAATCAGCAACGATTTGTTTGGTTTGAGATTTGGCCGCCTCCTTTTGGCTCTGGTTTATGCTACTCAAATTACTCTGCATCAACAAGAATGACATAATGTTATATAGTTTTTTTATATATATATTTTTTATTTCATGATTACTTGATCTTCACATAACATAGCATGATCTCTGTGTGTGTGTGTGTGTAAATAGTAAAGGGGAGATATTTCATCAGTATAATATGATATCTTCTTTTTTTTTTTAAATCATTTCTCTTTGTGTAGACTTTGTCATCTCTGTGGAAGCCACCTAACACCACTGGCTATGCTGTTGGGGTTCTGATTGGCAACAAGGTATGCTAATGTATGTTGCTATCTTTATTCTTGTAGGCTGTAGGTAGGACTATGGAGCTATTGTCCTTTTTTTTTGGATTTAGCTTGCTACATTGTTATAAATGTAGGAAGACACTGAAAATCTGAAAATCATATAAAATATAAGATGCTGTTTCTTGAAGTTGAGCAATTGCCTGTCAAAAAATTACCTTGTGCTACTGGATGTCCACCACTGTTTTAAAAGGAGTGGGGACCCTCTATCCCCTTACATTTTTGTCCTTTGTGCTGAGGTTCTAACCAAAAAGCTGGAGTTAGAGGCTTCTAAGGGTGAGAGTTGATAGGTTGTAATGTATGTCAGAATATCAAGGATATTCTTGACAAATTTGCCTTTGCCTCTAGTGAACTTCCTATTTTTTCAAAATCGGCTGTAACCTTTTCTAAGAATATTCCAAAGAGACGTCAAAAAATCATGTCAAAAAATTCTTAAAATCCCCCTTGAGTCTAAAAACAAAATTTATCTTGGGGCTCCTATTATTGATGGGAGGGTATCTAAGGAGGTTTTTAAATTCCTCAGTGATAAAATGACTAAAGAAGCTCACGGGATTTTGTCACCATCTCCAGGTTGTGTTTTTAAATTCCGTTGTAAGTATATCATATGAAGGTAAAATCTTCCACTTCTAGAGGGGGTAGCCCTCAATGGAAGTGTTGTGAATCCAGTAAGGGATATTCACGATAGACTCAAGGTCTTCAATAGAAGTTTAGTTGGGCGTTTTGTGAACTCTGACCCAGATGTAGAGGGTGTTGGTGAATGGGTGGAGGTTGTTTGGCGCCCAAGGAAGCCGTTCCAGGTAAGGAAGTTGAACGTCGGATTCTTTCTATTCAATTTCAATAGTGAAGCGAAGGCAAGTGATATTTTAAGGAAGGAACAACACCAAGTTCGATCCCCAAAGCTTAGAATTGGGCGATGGAATCCCCTAGTTGGTGCAATCAGAAATTTGGGTCCTACAAGTCTAATTTGGATAAATAATTTTGGAATCCTCCTACACGCTTGGTGTTTCCAAACTTTTAAAGCAGTGGGGGATGCATGTGGAAGATTCAGATTCATGGATTCTTGAACGATATACTGTAGGAGTCTAGTTGCTGCTTGTATCCTAGTTGAAGTCGACGAAATTCATTTGGTTCCTTCTTCTCTTGTCCTTCATTTTGTTGGAGAATGTTATGATTTATGAATTGGAATACAAGGCTCATATCCAATGAGATGGGTTGAAGATCTAGGTTCCAACTGGGAGGAGTTGAGCAACTATCCTCTGTCATCTAATGCAAACTGCGGGAAGATGAATAAACCACTCTATAGAAGACTGAAGGTTGAAGATAGGGGCATTGTTGGAATTAATGATAATGTTTATCAAAGTTCGAGGGTTCGTAATAATGACGAGGATAGGATAACCTCGAGACATAAACTGATCAATGGGGCCCATCTGCTTGGGTTCGAGAGCTGTATTAAAGTGGAGGCCTTTCTCGATGACAAAGGAGACGGTGGGGCAGAGGTCATAATGAAGGAACACGTGGAGGTCCAGAAAGAGGAGACGGTGGAGCAGGGTACAAGGTCGAGGAAGTTTCCATTAACAGGTAAAGTAAGGGAGGCGTGGGAGGGAAAGGGGCCCGAAACCTCAAATGGGACCCACACTTTGAATTTCTTAAGAATGAATCCTTTGAATCAAAACAGAGCCTCTCGCTTAAAGGTTAATAGAAAGTCCTTTTGGAGCTTCAAAAGCCAAAAACAAAGGAAGTTGAGGAACAAAAAGTGAGCAATAAGCAAATAGGGAAGAAAGAGAATTGGATTTGGGAGATTTTTAGGCATGACTCAAATGGAAAAAAGAGTGCTTCGAACAAAACTCAGGCAAATGATAAAGAAGAAGCTTTACAATTTAATTCAAATGTTGGATGCGCTTTGGCCTGCTGTGATCGCATGGTGGAAGATGTGGTGGCGAACGATAAAGAAGAGGCTCAAAGTTTTAATTTGAATGTTGGTTGCGCCTTGGCCTCCTGCGATCGCATGGTGGAAGATGTGGTGGCAGATTCAAAAGTAGGGGAAGATAAGGGGTCTGAAGTTGTATATGTACAAATTGGCGAATGTAATTCTAGTAAGCAGCTTGATAAGGCTGTTAGGATAGTATGTGAGGAAGTGGAGGATGGTTTGGGGGAGGAAGGGGAAGCTGTGAAGGGGAGAGAGGATGGAGAGGAGGGAAGAGTGGTGGAAGGAGAAGAAGGGAGTTAGTTGATAGTGCAATTTGCAAGGACAGTAACCAATTAGGAAGATCAAATGCTGATCCTCCTATTTCTGAAGAGGTGTTGTTTGGCAGATTAGGGGTGGACCTAGGCTGAAGAAGAATCGAAGATGAGATTGTAGAAGGGAGGGATACTGAGGCATGCGGCAGTGAGAGGTGTTGTGATGAGATTCTCACCAGTGACAACTTGTGTTTCGAAGAGGTGAAGGTTGGAAGATGGGCGTCGATCTGGGTCGGAGGAGCAAGGCCGATGAAAAGAATGTGGAGACAGATTTTGGGGTAACTAGCAAGAAAGTACGGACTTCAAGAAATCCTCATGTTGTTCATGTGACAAATTTTTTCTCGGTTGAAGCTTGGTCTGGGGGGGTTGGACCTACAAAAAGTTTTAAATGGGTTTACAAAAGAAAAGGATCAAGAGGCAATTTCTCCATCCGAATCTGGTCCTTGTGAAACAATGATTCAAGCTCAATCTCTGGTTCCCCAACTGGGTAAGGTGCATCAAGACAAGAAAGATAGTGTTGAAGGATCCGAAGGTGACGTGGACTCAATGGCGAAAAAGAACGAAGCTTTGGCTCTTCAGAAGTTAGTGGAGAAAGAAGTTGAGATTGGTAAAAGCCTTGGCTTATTTTTTTGGGGAGGTGAGGAGTTTGCTATGAAGGCCTTTGAGGAGTTCGAGAGAAAGAGGAAGGAAGAGAGCTTGAAGAAAGTAACAATTGGGGAATGAAGAAAGAAGTGGGATGAGGATGTCGATAGGCAGGATGGAGTGTGCGAGGACGAGGAATAAGGAGATGTTGTCAGGGTTCTGCAATTCAAGGGGCTAGATGAAGGTGTCCAGAAGTGTGCTTTTTGTTTTTGTGTTGTTTGGATGTAATGGTATCAAAGGTAGTGAATCTGTGTTAGTGTCTGGTGCTTTCTCTCGGGTGATTTCTTATCACCTTTCTCTTGTATTCTCTTTTACTTTTAATGAATTTATTTTTATTCTTCAAAAAAAAAGAAAAAAATATTCTCTCTTGCGGGGAAGCTCACTCTTATTATATTTATCAAAAAAAAGCTCACTCTTATTAAATATGCTGCCTTAATGGTCCTCAGTTTGTTATGTAATCATTCAAAATTCCAAACAATGTCATGGATGGTTTGGAGAAAACTCAAAGAGATTTTATTTGGTCGAATTCTAGAAGTCAGCACCCTATTCATCTAGTTAGTTGGTCTAGGGTTTGTGCTCCCAAATCTTGTGGTAGGTTGGGGCTAAAATACCTCAGATGGATCAACAAGGCTCTCTTGGTTAAACTAGGGAGGAAGATCCTTACTTGTAAAGAGAGCCTTTGGGTAAAAGTGATCAGTTTTCGAATTATCACTGAAGGAGACTCGAATTTTATGATTGACTGTCTCAGAGGAAAGGTGAAGCCCCTGTGGAGATTGGAAAGCATCATCAACAAGACAACAAGTGTCTTTGTTTTTGTGCCAGGTCCAACTTGAACATCATCTTTAGGCATGCATATCGTGAGGTGAATCAAGCTGCAGATTGGCTGGCTCGTAGCGCTTTAGCTAGTTCTTCAGTCAATTCTAGTTGTATTCCTTTTGATCTGATCTGTGGGGAATAGCTACCCCTGTCTTGTAGCTCCTCTATGTTCTTATAAAAAAAAGGCATGGGAGACTCCTCCAAGTGAGGCACCCCCAAAACGCCCTGAGGTGTATGCCAGATGTGTCGATACCTCTGAGGCATATGCCTCAGGTGCTATAGGTGTATGCCTCATGCGCCTCACACACACCTCATACAAAAAGAAAAAAAGAAAGCAAAAAGAAAGGAAAGGAATGGAAAAGAAGAATAAAGAAAGAAAGAAAGAGAAAGAGAAAAGAGAAAAGAAAGCTTGGTTACTAATATTCAGGAGGAGGTAGGGAAACACGAGCGGTGGAGAGAGAGGATAGCTTTATTCATGCTAATGCTTAGAGAAAGAAAATCAGAGTTGAGGCCAAGACATACTTCCTAGAAGAGGTGAAAACCAGAAATGGAGCTGTGTTGAAACTCAATGAACAAACGAAGGCGGTGGTGTTGTTGAATGGGCAGGCCCCATTGTGGTTCAAAGGCTTTCTAGAAGGAGCTATCCACTCACAGAGGCAGATTAATTGGAAAGTTTCTTACAAGGAGGGTAGATACCACCTACTGGCGCAAATTTTAGAGGAAGGGGTTAATTTTTTGAGGAAACTTAAGGGTCTAAAAGAGAAAATAAAGGCGCGGAACAAAGGACACTTATGGTAAAGTGGAGGAGATCAAGGAAGGACTTATTTCAAGGATTGCGGAGTTAGATATGAAAGAAGCTCTTAGAACTATGAGTAGTAAGGAAAGAGAGGAAAGGTGGAAATTAAAATGTGAGTTAGGAGTCCTTAGGAAGGAAGAGATTTCTTGGAGGCAAAAATCTAGATGCAAATGGCTGATGGAGGGGGATGGAAATACAAAGTTTTTTTTTTTTTTTTCCACTCCTTAGCCAATGGGAGAAGAAGGAAAAATCAAATTGTGAGGCTAGAAGTGGATGGACATGAAATAACCAGGGAGGAGGAGATCATCAAGGTTTTTGTGGATCATTTTAAAAGGATTTTCCATAGTCAAGGGGAGAGAAGCCATTTCCCCCCAGACATACAGTGGACTAGAGTGCTTGAAGCTTTGGTGACAGACTTAGAAAGGGAGTTTTCTCTAAAAGAAATAAAAGAGGAAGTTTGGTGGCAAATGAATGTGTATCCGAGAAGAGGAAGAGGAGAGGGAGAGGCGTAGTGTGCAAGTTGGATTTAGAGAAGGCTTATGACTTTGTGGACTAGAAATTGTGGGGAGAATCGGGATAGGGCAGCGGTGGAGGATGTGGATGAAGGGATGCCTTAGTTCAGTGCAATACTCAATCGTGACCAATGGTGTGGCTAGAGACTATTTTCCAGCGAAAAGAGGATTGAGACAAGGGGATCCCCTTTCGCCCTTTCTGTTCACTTTAATTGCTGATGTCCTAAGTAGGATGATTATGGAGGCCGGTCAGAGAAACCTAATTAGAGGATGGAGAGTAGGAAGACTTGAGGTGGCAGTCACACATTTGCAATTTGTAGACAACATCATTTTATTCTCTGAGGGAGGTAATTAGGAGAGCATAAGAAATTTTTGTGAGCTCATAACTTCCTTTGAATCACTCCCCAAATTGAAGGTAAATTAGGGAAAAAGTTGTATAGCAGGGATTAACTTGGAAGATGAAAGTTTGAGAGAGTTAGTCGAGATTTTGGGGTGTGAAGTTAAAAAATGGCCATTGGAGTACTTAGGGTTTCCATTGGGAGGGAATCCAAGACCAGAAGACTTCTGGAAACCAGTGGTGGAGAGGTTTACAAGGAAGTAGGCACTTTGGAGGAGGAACTATTTATCAATAGGTGGGAGAATAACCCTGATTAGAGCAACTTTAGCAAACCTACCATTCTATTTCCTTTCAACTTTTAGAATCCCAGCTAAAGTGGCAAGACATCTAGAAAAAACTTATGAGAGATTTTCTTTGGGAACCTAGGGAGGAGAAGAGGGATCATCTAGTTAAGTGGGAACAAGTTAGCAAAACAAAGGAAAAGGGAGGCCTAGGACTAGGGAATTAGTTCATAGGAATACTTCCTTGTTAGGGAAATGGCTTTGGAGGTTTCCATTGGAAAGAGACAGATTGTGGCATAAGGTGATAGAAAGCATTCACGAGCTGATGAACAAAAGATGGGATGCAAAGTTAGCCCCCTCATCTTCCTCGAGCTCTCCATGGAAAGCAATACAAGAGGTATATCCTATCTTTCTTAACTCCATCAGATTTGATGTGGGTAGTGGATCTAGGGTGCTTTTTTGGGAAGATCTTTTGCTGGGTGATACTCCTTTTTGTTCCCTATTCACTGATCTTTATTCAGTCTCTAACTACAAGTTAAAACCCATCTCAAAATTTGTCACCTTTTCTCACTCTGGATTGAGTTGGGATTTTGGCTTCAGAAGAGGTTTGAGGGATAATGAGTGTGTCTCTTATTTGCTTGCTTGATACTCTCAAGTTAGTTTTCTTCGTACAATCTTTGGAGGACACTAGAGCATGGTCTGCTTCTTCCGATGACACCTTCACATGTGCTTCTTTCTTCAATACCATTGTTCAAACTCCTGTTGGGGGTGATAATTTCCCGGTGAAAGAGATTTGGAGCAAGCCCATTCCACCAAAAATTCAATCTCTATGTTGGGAGGTGTTTCTTGGGAAGGTAAATACTTGCGACATGCTTCAAAAAAGGAGGCCAAATAAATACCTCTCCCCTCATATGTGCATTCTTTGCTCTACAGATGGTGAATCCTTACCCCATTTATTGATCCATTGCCCTTTTGTGCTTTTTGTTTTTGGTTGTAGATGGAGTGCTCCCCAGGATGTAGTAAGCCTCTTCGATCCAAACTTTCTAAGCAAGTCAACAAAAAGAGGAAGGGTGATGTGGAAATCACCAAGAGCAGCGGTAGTGTGGACAATATGGGAGGAAATGAACGCAAGATTATTCAATGAGAAGCATAGGCAAAAAGAGGCTATTGTGGAGGCCATAAAGATAAAAGTTGCACACTGGGTGAAATCACTCTGGCTCTTTCAAATTTCTAAATTATTACTGATATAGTAAGAGCCTGGAAAGAAGTGGCACACACAGCTGAGAAGAAGGAAAGAAAAGTGATGGAGTGGAAGCCCCCAGGTCCCAATAAGTTAAACCTGAACTTTGATGGAAGCTCTATAGAAAACCCGGGTATGGCAGACATTGGTGGTGTAATCAGAGATTCCTCAAGCAAGGTGTTGGCTATGTACTCGGGAACCCTAGGGGAAGGTGACTCTCTAAAAGCTGAATTGTTAGCTCTGCTTCAAGGGCTAAAGATTGTAATCAGAGATTCCTCAAGCAAGGTGTTGGCTATGTACTCGGGAACCCTAGGGGAAGGTGACTCTCTAAAAGCTGAATTGTTGCTCTGCTTCAAGGGCTAAAGATTGCCAAGCATGCTGATCTTAGGAACTTGGAGATGGAAGGGGACTCAAAAACAGTGATATCTTGGACCAATTCAAGTAGTAATGTTCCGTGGTGCTACAGGCATCCGTTAAGGGAGATAATAAGCATAGCAAGGGAACTTAATGTCCCGTTCACATGGGTTAGGAGAGCTGCAAATGAAATGACTGATTCTTTAGCTAAACAAGGAGTTCAAAGGCAATAACTTTTTTGCGCTTTATTGTAAAATTTTCTGTTGAAATGTCTGTGTTCTATATGCTGTAACTCTGTATTTATTCTCTTAATTGAATAAAATCATCATCTTGCTGATCAAAAAAAAGGGCCAGGGGCTCTTTATCTTCGTTCTTCTTAATATAAAAGATTTTTATTAAAAATAAAGAAAAATGAGATCCTCCTCTTCCTCCTCCTCTTCTCCCTCCTCTTAAGGAGGCTTATGCCTCTTATGTTCTGAACTACACCTCACACCTCTAGGTAGTGGAATGCCTTGCGTCATGCCTCCACATTGTAAAACATTGATGTCCACTACTTTGGTCTTACTGAGTTTATAATACGCAGTTCTTTGGTTCCAGTTATCCTGCTAAGTGCTAACACTGATGTCCTTTGCCCCACATCTCCTCCAACTTCCTTTCCCAGTTCATCTACCTTTATGTTATGCTTTTTTATAAGTTTATTTATAAGGTATTTATTATTATAAGTTTATTTAGTCTTAATTATAAGGTATTATTATAATTTCTCCATGTCCTAGACACCAGATACCCTTGGATGATTAGACTACTAAAGTGGAGCTGAAAGCTTTTCTGAGTGACACTGAAATTTTTAAAGACCATGCATACCAACGAACTACAAACAGTCTTCTGTGTCTGGGTCAATGCTTAGTACAAGAGAAACAAATTGTATTTTTATGTTTCGTGTTATTTTAATTCTTAATTTCTTATTCATTGCTGCAGAATAAATGGGAAAAAACTGGGGGATATAGAGGAGGAAGGTGAGAGCTGATAGGTGTTGAATATTCAGACCTTGAATTTTGCACATGGGGAGGTTTGGGAAATAAGATAAGAGATGTATGTGGCATATAACATATCCTAAATTTATATTTCATGTGTATATCTGCACTAATGATTAATTATGGACATTGTTGACGTCATGTGCTTGACCCAAATGACCCAATGGTTGAACCTGTTTTAACTTGCAAAAGCTCCATTCGCTGGTTTGATATTTGGTTAGTTTTCTTTTTCAAATTGAATATTTCCAATATAATACACATTTTACTTTTTTTTTGCAAATTTATCCATTTGCAATTAGTGATCTTTTGTTCTTCTTTATCCGCCTTAGTTTTAACCTATGATGCCATTGTGTTCTTCTTGCAAACAGAAAAATTATGTTAATTTCTGGGGTTATGGTTGCTTGGTGCCATGATTCTGTTATTTCATGTTGCATGTGTTAGAGTAATTTCCCTATGATACTCATAAATCTGCAAAATTTCCACCTCTATTTTTTTTATCATTCTTATAGTCATATATAGATACACAAAAGATACATGCAGTACAAAGTGAAATTATTCAAACTACAAAAAGTTATTTTATCATTGAATACATTGAACCAATCATTTTGTGATGTTTATTTGTTCTAAGCATTGTAAAAGTTTTCCCCCTCCTATGTTGCAGTTACACTTGAATCCTGTTCATGCAGTTGTACAGCTTCGGCCATCAATGGAACACCTTAAGTCTAGTAATCTAAAGAAGAGTAATATTATTCCAGATGAAATAAATGAGGAAAAACCAGCAGGACCATCAAAGAAGCAGGTAAACACTTTCTTACTTTGCTGACCATATCGAAATTGCTGTCTGTGGTTTATTGGCAGGTAAACACTTATATGTGGTTTGTAGATTCTTTCTTCTCCCCACCAAAAAAGACAGGGCAATTACTATGGAAATGCACTAGGGATGCCATAATTTGGTCAGTTTGGGAGGAGAGAATTACAAGAATTTTCAATCCACCCACCCAAACAAGAGAAGTGCTGATTGAAAACATCACAGTAAAGGTGGTGCATTGGGCCAAAACTCGTTCTATCTTGATACCCTTTTCGGTGGATGATAATGACATGATGAGAGGCTGGCAATGTAATACTTCTTCATCTACAACTAACAGTATGGCTTATCCAAAATGGGCACCTTCCACCAAAAAACAGCCTCAAACTGACTTTTGATAGGTGCAGTTTGGGAAATCCAGTGCAAGCAGGCATAGGGAATGTGTTTGGACTCATTATGGCATATTAGCAATTTTGTATTCAGGACCTATTTGTCATAGGAACTCAATAAGAGCAGAATTACTGGCTGTACTCCAAGGTCTAAGCATATGAAAAGATCTCAACTACAAAAGTGTGTAAGTAGAGGAGTATTCAAAGATTATTGTGGGGTGGATCAGATGCAACAATCAAGGGCCATTGCAATATAGACATTCTGAGAGATCAGATATCTGGCTAGGAATTTGGAAGCTAGATTCACTTGGGTTTAACTGTTTAAGAGATCACGTAATACTGTGGCAGATAATTTGGCTAAACAAGGAGTTAACAAAACACATCTATTACTGGGGTTTAATAATCCCTAGAGATAATGATACCATTATAACTTAAGAAATAGGGGAAGAAAAAGGTATATGGGGTGGGTAGCAGATCTAACCTATATTGGGACGTTTGGCAATTTCATTGCATATATTAATATCATATATTCCTTCTTCATAAATCAAAAAAGAAGCCTCAGTCTGCTACCAACATTTCTTTTCTGTTTTTTCAGTCAACTATGATTCTAACCAGTACTACTATTTGCTATACAGGTCCATATTGCAAAGAAAAGCTAACAAAAATTAGTTGTTAGGAATGCTAACCAGAAGCTATTGATTATTTTTTCATTATAAAATAAGAAGTTTCTCTATAATGTTTTTTTACCTAAGATTTTTTTTTCGATAAATTTTTACCTAAGATTTTTTTAATCAAAAGTTCATCTATATTCTTTACACTTTTTTCCCATTCTCTGTGCAGGGTAAGCTTTTAGGGTCACCAGATGAGCAAAACAAAGATGATGAGGTAAGACATCGTCATCATAATGAAAAGTTGTATGGAAATCAGCAAAACCATTTGCTTCTTGGAGTGAGAATTATGAACTTAAAGAATACCAGTTGTCGGTGTTGTAAAACATAGTTCACTTATGCGTTTCAAGTATCACATTCTGAATAGCCATCTATAAAGGGGTTTTAATCAGGTTCAAAAAGAAGCTGACTACGGTTCACATGTGTCATGTTTCTCCTTTATCAGGCAGTGCTAAGTGGGATGCTTCTTCAAGTTAATTTTTTATACTACCAGAACTATCCCATTCTGTATTTACAGGGATATGTCTTGTTTGATCCTTAACTTGACTGCTAGTTTAATACCCCTTTCATCAAACAAACACATGAAGTAAGAAAGAAAATGAAAAAAATGGACGTAGCTAATTTTGAGTAAGCAAAGAAAAAAGGATGTAGCTTTAAAGGGGTTTGTCTGGCTGCTGATGGGGTTCATATTGGAGGGATGTACTCTGCAAATTTTCATAAGTTTCTTTCTTGTATTGTGTGATTTGTTAGTGTATTGTGTATAATTATTTGGTTTGTTTTGCTTTGTTTTTATGTTGTCTTCAAGATCCATACTGCCTTTATTACTTTTGTTTTGTTTTTCTTTTCTTTTCACATCTCTCTATTTCTGTATATACCCTGCATTATTATAATATGGTAATTAATATTAGTATTATTGTTATTGTCATTATTGTTGTCATCATTGTTTGTTGTTATATGAGTGCACATCTAAAACTGCATATTGACGCAGGAGCCAGAGCCAAAATTGGAAATTTCTGAATTATTTCAAAGTCGCTGGCTAAGTTGTTTAGGAATTCTTGAGTTTTCTTATGGTTGTAAAAACTTTGTAATTTTTTCCTGGTTCCAGTAGGTCTGGCCAATAGTGTCTATGTGCATGTTTGTATGTGTGTGTGAAGTCAAAACTCAAAACATGGATTTTTTTTAATCAGCAAACATGGAGATAGGTATTGGAATGCTATTGAAGTATTTTTTCTGTATATGCTTGTGCTGAGTGATTCCCATGCCTTAGAGTGATTTTAGGTATTGGAATGCTATTGAGGTGATTTTTTCAGTATATTTTGCTTTTTATTATTAATCGGATTCATATTGCAAAATCTAAATCTGATTACACAAACACCTCAATCAAATATGTGATAATCAGATTGAGTTGTGAAGTTTCAATTATCATTGATAGGTCTACTTACTTGGTTAGATTCTTCTATTTATAACATTATCTTTTGGTGTTTTTTTTTTCTTCTATTCATTTATAAAAAAATGTAAGATTTAAATAGAGGGAATTAAATGAGGTCAAAAGTAGTAGTTTTAAAATATGAGTCTATATTGTTAAAAATATTGGCATAGATCTAATTAGTACCATTTATTGGTGAAAAATAACTTAAATATAGGATTTAATAAGAGAGAATGGGAGTTAATACCTTTTAAGTATAAGACTTAATGGGAGGGAATAATAATGTAGAAAGTAATAATTGAAGTTACATTTTCAACCCTTACAATTATAGATGGGTTAAATACACAAATATGGCTAGTATAGTAGCCATTAAAGCTGACATTAAAGCTATAATAAAATGACTTTTATACATTTTCTCAAACAAAGAAATAGAGGGTAATTTTAGTCCAAGAAAAGATTCACACTACATTCACACTTTTATATATAGTATAGATATAATCTAATGAAAGGGGCGGGCAGAGAGTCACCACTAGTATGAGGAGGTTTAATGAGTTTGTAAATGCTTTGGACTTGAAGGAGATCATGATGTCACACAATAAATTCACTTGGTCAAATTTGCAATCAAACCCAAGTAGGGGTGCAAGTCGGGCGGGTTGGGCTAGGTTTATGGTCAACCTAGGCCCGACCCTAAAATTTGGGCTTAAGGCCCGAGCTTGGCCCAAACCCAAGGTCAAGCCTGATTTTCCCAACCTGAGCCCCACCTGCCCTATAATTTGATGCACTTAGGTTGGGCTTAGGCTCGGGCTGGGCTCGGGTTGGTCAATGAACCCACTTTAAAATTATACATATATAAATGTATTTATGCAATATTTATGTATGTATGTAAATATGTATACAAAATATCCATACAAAAGTTATATATACAAATATGTATGTATATATATGTAAATATGTATGCAACATTTACATATATACACAGGTTCTTAGGTAGCTCGAACCTTGCCCGAAAAATAAAAAAAGCCCGACTTCTTGGGCCCGAGCCCAGCCCAAGGACCAATAATCCAAGCTCAGCCCGTGTAAAATTCTAGGTTGGGCCAGTTCAGGCTTGGACTAGGCCCGCCCAAGTTGCACCCCGAAACCCAAGTTGTTCCAAGCTGGATACATTTTTGTTTTCAGTGGATTGGGAAGAGCATTGGGGGGAGTTAGTAGCCTTGCCTAGAGTTACCTTCCATCGCTAGCCAATTTTGATTTGCAAAGAAGAAATTCGAGGGAGAGGACTTGCCCCGTTCAGGTTTGAGAACATGTGGTTGAAACACCCAGGGTTTATAGAGAAAGTCAAGGATTGGTGGACAGAGTACAATCCGGATGTCATTTGGGAGGGTATGAAATTCCATAGGAAGCTGAAGGAGTTAAAGGCTAAAATCAAAATAGAGGCTTTGGATTCCAAGGAAGGGGAAGGAAACTTTGAGGAATATGATTGGGTTGAAAGATGGACACTAAGAAAGCAACTGGAGGACATTCTGGTTAAAGAAGAAATCAGTTGGAGACAGAAGCCAAGATGTTTGTGGTTAAAGGAAGGATTGAAGGAGATAGAAATACAAAAGTTTTGCATGCAATGGCAAATGCTAGGAGAAATAGGAATTGTGTATCTCCAAACTTGAGGTGAATGGAGAATCTCTGACTCAACATGGGGAAATAGCTAGGGCCTTTGTGATCACTTCAAATCTTTTTTCAGATGACCCTTAGTCGGGAGAATAAGTCTAGAAGGATTAGAATGGCCAAGGATTTCAGAAGACTCCAAGGTGTGGCTGGAATGGCGTTTTGATTTGGAAGAAATTAAGGAAGCAATTTTGTCTATGGATAAAGCTAAGCCTATGGAGCTTGATGGGTTTACGATGGCCTTCTACCAGGATTGTTCGGAGATCTTAAAGATGGATATTTTGAAGGTGTCCAATGAATTTTTTTGGGAGAGGAGTGATTAATCCAGGGTTGAATTCTACTTTTATCGCTTTCATTCCAAAGAAGCCTGATGCAGTTCATCCGAGTGAGTTTAGACCCATCAGTTTGGTGAATAGCGTCTAAGATAATAGCTAAGGTGTTGCCCAAAAGAGTAAGAACAGTGCTTCCATCCATTATTTCATTAAATCAAGGGGCCTTTGTAGGTAATAGACAAATCACCAACCAGATTCTTATTGCCAATGAGAGCTTGGAGGATTTTAGAAGAAATGGAAATATAGGACTCTTGTGCAAGCTCGAATTGGAGAAAGCATACAATTTGGTGGATTGGTCTTTCCTATTGGAAGTGTTGAGGAATTTTGGGTTTGGTGAAAAGTGGTTTAAATGGATTATGGGGTGCCATAAGTCATGTCACTATTCAGTATTGGTGAATGGAACAATACTACAATAGTGGATCACTTCCATGCCATTAGAGGAATTAGACAAGGGGAACCTCTCTCCCCATTCCTATTTACCCTTGTTGCAGAGGTGCTTGGGTTGCTTATTGACAGAGCTGATGCAAAAGGATTGGTGAGAGGATGGAGAGTTGGTAGGGATAGGGTTCCAGTTACTCACTTGCAGTTTGCTGATGACACCATTTTGTTTTGCGAAGGAAATGACCTTAACAGAGCAAGAAATTTGAAGCTGGTGGTGCATTTGTTTGAGAGGGTATCAAATTTAAAAATTAATTTCAACAAAAGTTGTGTGGTGGGAGTGGATATGAGTGAGGAGGAGTTGCAGGTATGTGCCTCGTTTTTAGGCTGTGAGGTCTCCCAGTGGCCTATGAAGTACCTAGGACTTCCTTTGGGTGGTAATCCTAGGAACATTAGCTTCTGGAACCCGGTGGTAGATAGATTCACTAAAAGGTTGGCCACTTGGAAGAAGAATTATCTATCTTTGGGAGGGCGAATAACTTTGATTAGGTCAACCCTGGCAAACTTACCTGTGTACTTTTTATCAGTCTTTAAAATTCTAGTGGATGCGGGCAAGAGGTTAGAAAAGTTAATGAGAGAATTTTTGTGGGAGCCTGGGGACGAGAAGAAGGATCACAAAATGAACTGGAAAATGGTGTGTAAAAATTGAGGTGATGGAGGTTTAGGTATTGGTTACATTCAGTTGAGGAATCAGGCTTTCTTAAGGAAGTGGTTGTGGAGGTTACCTTAGGACAAGGATAAATTGTGGGCTAAAGTGATTATTAGCATTCATGGGCTGTCGACAGATGGATGGGATGCTGGAGTGTTGGCTCAGGCTACATGTACTTCTCCCTTGAAGGCTATACATGCGGTCATTCCCTTTTTTCTACCTTTTCTCAGGTACAATCTTTGTCCAAGGGACCTTGTTAAATTCTGGGAACATGTTTGGGTGGGTGAGTCAGCTTTGAAAGTCCAATTCCCTACTTTGTTTGCCATTTCTAATTTTAAGGATGAGCCAGTTTCTTCCTTCTTGATTCCTTCTGACTTAGACTCATGGTTTGATTGGGACTTGGGTTTTAGGAGAGGCCTTAGAGATTCAGAATTGAACCAAGCTTTGGATTGATGACAATTGTCCAAGGAATCTCTTTGGACCCCTCTAGTATCGATAGTAAATTTTGGACCTTAAACCTCTTCTGGTTCTTTTTCCTGTGCCTCTAGTATCGACAGATGGATGGAGTTGCCCCTTTTTTCCTGTGACTCTACTCAGGGGTCCTGTTTTCCTGTTAAAGAAGTGTGGGGAAAGCCAATTCCACCGAGAATATGGGCTTTCTGTTGGGAAGCTATTCTGGGTAAGATTAATACCAGTGATTTACTTCAAAGAAAAAGACCTTGGTGCTTGTCCCCTAATTGGTGCATCTTGTGTAAAGCTAATGGTGAGAACTGCTATCATCTGATTATTTCTTGCCCTTTTTCCTCTTCTATTTGGAATTGGTTTGCTTCTTTGTTTGGATGCAATTGGACAGTCCCCTAATTGGTTTGCTTCTATTTGGATGCAGTTGAACTGCTATCATCTGACTATTAATGGGTTGAAGAAGAGGGGGAAAGTTCTATGGAGGTGCACTAGAGCTGCTATATGCTGGACAGTCTGGGAAGAAAGAAATCAAAGAGTGTTTCAGGATAAGGAAAGGAGTTTAAGTGCTGTTTTGGAGGTTGTTACAGCTAGAGTCTTGCAATGGGTGAAGTTACTGAAACTGTTTGAGGACATTCCTGCAGGGATGCTGCTGAATAATTGGAAGGCAGTGGCTATGCTTAACTATAATTTTTAAATTATAATTCTTAAGTTTTAATGTTTTATGGGATGGGAAAAACCCAACTCTCCTATACAACCATAAAACATGCATTGGCACAACTTCTAAGTGAAAATATAATCAATAATCATTTATTATTTATTTCCAAAAATTATAAAAAATAAATAAACATTATTAATATATTAAAAAAATATTTATTAAAGAAGAAATTTCAATTGGTTTGTGATAGATCATCCATAGAATTATAATATATTCAATCATTGTGATCAAATGGTAAAATATAATTAATTAATTATTTAATTTTTAATTCTAAAAATAAAAAAATAAAAAAAAATATATTAAATAAGAAATTTCAATTGGTCTATGGATATGATAGACCATCCATAGAATTATAATATATTCAATTGTTGTGATCAAATGATAAAATATAATTAATTATTATTTATTTTTTAATTCTAAAAATATAAAAAAATAGAAAATACTAAAGAAGAAATTTCAATTGCTCTATGTATATGATAGATAAATCTATAGATCTAAAACATATTTAGTCTTTATAGGCAGACTAAATTTATTGTGATTTTGAATGTAAGAAATGTATATCAACATAAATTTAGACACTCAAGAAAAAAAGAAATCACGAGATATTATAAAAATTTGAAAAAACTTACCTATTTTTGCCATATTTTTTTTTTAATTTGAAAAATTTTCAAAAAAAAATTAACGATTCACACTTGTTTCTTGCAAATTTTTGCAAATCTAGCACTCTACGAATGAAGTTTGGAGTTTTAGAGTCATTTGGGGGTGAAAGAAGGATTATTTCAGGGAAAAGAAGCTTGTTTTTTCCCTTTATTTGAATGAATACCATGTATTTGAATGAATACCAGTTGATTGGTTACTAATTGAATGATGCATACCACACCAGTTGATTGTTTATCAGCTTTTTGAGTGCCATACCTCTTTGGTGCCATGGTCATACTCAAAAAACAATTCTTATTTGACATTATCGAGACTGTTATCCACATTGACACTTAACAAAACTCTTCCCATTTTGCTAATAAACATCTCAAAATCATAGATATCCTGCTTCTATGTGTTTTCTTTACCTTCTATTGCAATTACTACTTTTGGCAAATTTTGGACTTTAGCTGTTTACCCTTTTCTCTTTTTAGTATTTCTTAATTTTATTTTGCCTTTTAATTTGCAGTCGTGGGTTTCACTTGAATACCATCAAATAGATAGCAGTACCTCACGTGGATATCAGCAAAAAATGGTGGCACGAGAAAGTTCTCCAATACAATTCTCTATGAACTCGTATGTCCTTTCATTAACTGATTAGGACAGAAATGCTTGGTATTCTGTGTCAATTTGAGCTGTGGTCTTATTATTTTTATGTCTATTTATTCAGAAGACATTGGTTACGCTAACCAGTTTGAATTTTTAAATTCTTATTGTGATTTAAGGTATGACTATCTCAATTCTTTATGTCCTGGAACATCTAGCGACAACAACAGAGTCAAGGGTCCTTCAAGAAGGTAAGTCATTCCAGTTATTGTGTATTGGTTCTAGTGGAATATCGCGTGTATGAGATGCTGTAATAAAACCTCATTGTGTTCAATCCGGATTGTATAATCTATCAATCTCTTTTTTTTAATGGAAATGTATGCATTATATTATCAACTGAGAGTAGAGCTTCCTTTTGGTTGGAGATTGTGGTAAAAGGGCTTTCTTTAAGGATTAAAAAGGTCCTTCTGTCTCTCATTACTCAAACCCAAGGTGCTTTTGTCCAAGATAGGCACGTTATATATCAGATCCTTATAGCAAATGAATGTGTGGAGGAAATGAGGAAATCCGACAATCAAGGTTTTATTTGTAAGCTGGACATTGAGAAGGCCTATGACTTAGTGGATTGGGATTTTCTATTAGAAGTGCTAAGGAAATGTGGATTTGGGGATAGATGGTGTAGGTGGGTGAGCGGATGTATAACATCTTGCCAATTTTCAGTTCTAGTTAATGGAGGGGTCAAGGACTTTTCCCAGCATGTAGAGGGCTCAGGCAAGGGGATCCTCTTTCCCCCTTTTTGTTCACGCTTGTGGCAGATGTGCTCGGTGGAATGATTAGTCACAGTGACTAATCTTCAGTTTGTTGATGATATCATCATCTTTTGTGAAGGGGGAGATTTAGGGAGAGTGAGGAACCTAAAAGATCTTATTAAATTCTTTGAGTCTGCTTCAAACCTATCGATTAATTTTGACAAAAGTTGTGTGGTGGGAATCAATTTGGAAGATCGGGAGGTAGAGGCTGTAGCAGGTTCTCTAGAGTGTTCCATATCTGATTGGCCTTTAACCTACTTGGGCCTTCCGTTAGGAGCTAACCCAAAAGAAAGTCGGTTCTGGTATCCAATTGTGGAAAAGTTTGAAAAGAGGTTGGCTGCTTGGAAAAAAGTTACATTTCAGTAGGTGGTAGGGTGACCTTGATTAGGGCAACACTTGCTAGTCTTCCGGTTTATTTTCTTTCTATATTCAAGATACCCTCAAGGGAAACCAAGAAGCTAGAAAAGGTGATGAGGGATTTCTTGTGGGAGCCAGGGGAAGAGAAGAAGGATCACTTGATTAGGAGGGAGATAGTCAGTAGGAGTAAGGAAGAAGGGGGATTAGGATTGGGAAATCTAGTTCTTAAGAATGAAGCTTTACTAGGGAAGTGGCTTTGGAGATGGCCGTTAGAGAGAGAGAGGTTGTGGCACAAGGTGGTGAATAGTATTCATGGCTGTTTGCAGAATGGTTGGGATGCCGGAGTATCTCGACGGGCGACTCTTGCAACACCCTAGAGGCCATTCACGGAATTCTACCCCATTTTCTCAATTTGGTCGAGTATGATGTTAATTTTGGACACAATGTTCTTTTTTGGGAAGACATTTGGGTGGGCAACCAACCTCTTAAAGACCTTTTTCCCCTCTTTACTCTCTTTCCCTTTATAAGGAAGAGCCGGTTTCCAGTTTTATCTCCTACTCAATTCTTCTATGGCCCTAAACTGGGATTTTGGTTTCTGTAGAGGGTTACGTGATGGTGAAAGTGCTTGTGTTTCAATTGAGTTCCACAATAACCTGCTCTTTTTGTTGGCCACGAAGAGCCTATGGAGAACTTCGTGGAGGCTATTCGATAGAGAAAGCATCTCAAGGTGGAGGCAGAGAGTTTTCTGCTGGATGGTAGGATTGAATGTGGCAGAATGGTTCATAGAGTTTGTAGTTGCAGCGAGTGCAAAAGGAAAGGACAGATGTTGGAAAGAACTTCTAACAGAGATGGAAAGGAGGTATGTGGTGGAAAGCAGGAAGAACTACAATTCTTCATAGTACTATCAGAAAAGAATTTTTCTCTAGAATGAAGTTGAGACGGGAAAAAGTTTCAGAAAAGAAGGTAAGAGAGGCTCCCTTGAAGACAATAGTGAACTCAACAAAACGACCCCTACCTTAGTGCAAGATGGTAATAGAGCAGCATTATTAACATCAGTGGCAGCAGGAGAGTGGTCCAATAAACTTATTGTCGAAGTCGATAAACCAGGTAGAAACTGGGAGGAGGTTGCTGATTTGGTGACAAAACAATTAAGGATGACGACCACATATGTATTAACTCCTTTTGAGAGGTGCAAAGCTCTATTAGATCCCCTGGATAATAAGCCAGAAGTTGAGGCAGTATGTGTACAAGATAAACTGGGGTCGATGAACATTTTCAGGTGGTCTCCTTCATCAAACTCGAAGGAATCCTCGGTGATGGATGGAGTAAAAGTGAGCATGGTGGGTCTACCTTTCCATCTGTGGAAGGATGAAGTAGCAGAAGCCATCACAACATTGTGTGGAGCAAAACTGGCTGGCGTCTTTTGGGGAGATCTAAGGTCTGCGGCAATTTTACTGAATGGTGTCAAGCCTGAGGAGATTCCCAAGAAAGTGAACCTGAGAGTTGAAGGAGCTTTCATGGCGGTCTGGCTGACTTCCTCCATTGAAGTTGAAATGTGGAAGGAAGCTCGTAGGGAGGAAGATGGTCAGGTTGAAGAAGAAACCTTACGTGGCAGTAAGGGGTTGGTCAAGCTACAAGGAAAATACAGATACACAAAAGAGGGCAAGCAAGTTTTTGAAAATTCAAAAGCTTGGCTGAAGATGGAAAGTCTTAAACTTGACCAACTAGGCAGTAGATGGAGACCTGACAGGTCATATGCGTTAGCAATAACAGATGGCGTGCAAGCTATCTCATTAAATGCACCTATGCGGCTGAGAAAAGGTGAGAAGGGGGTAGGGAGTGGGGGAGCTAAAATGTTGGATCCATTTAAAATAAATAAGGCCCATTCAATTTCTAATCCGGGCCAGAAAATTGTAAATGGGCCCCAGGTTCTAAAAGTTGGGCCACTTAATAACATAAGGGATAAAATGATTAGTGGGCCAACCTCTGTGGGCCTATCTAAAGCGGGAGTGGGGCAGGGGGAACACTTTGTTAAAACACTATTTGGGTCGAATAATATCAGCCCATCAAAAGGGACCACAAGGATTTTAAAAGGTCACGTGACAAGGGGGTTAGAGTTGATAGATGGTAAACACCTTCTATCTTCTCCTTCGTTGAGCTCAACCGACAAAAAACCACGACCAACGAAGAGCGCATCTTCTGGGAACTCCCTACAGCGGGTTGCGTAAGGAAAAATGAACAGATCGTCACCTGAAAAACGCAACCCAAGGAGCGTCAGACAAAGCGATTGTGAAGAGCAAAAGCAACATGAATGCTCTGAGGAGGAAGAGTTCAGCGATATTGATTCAGACTATACAATGAGCCTAGGGAGTATCGATCTGAACAGCTCGAGGAACATTTTTTATGAAGATAGCTTGGGTATAGAGGTGCTTTTTCAAGAGAACAAGGAAGAAGATGATTTTGAAAGAGTTGGAGAAGACTATGTGAATGTATTGGATCATTCGACAAAAGATGAGGTTCAGATGTTGCCTGCACTCATAAAGGAAGTCAATCCAGTAGCTTAGGAAAATCAAGATATGAGATCGGTAAGGAAAAATCCTAACACTTTGATCTGTAACGTAAGACCAGAAGAAGGGAGACACGGGAAGAATAGTTCAACTGTTAAAGACGACAGGGTATTGACTCCTACTATAAACTCTCTAAGGCAAAATCAACCTCAAGGAACAGACTTAGGCCTTTCTCCTTATGCGCACCCCCCTCCCTTGAATGATGGCCCATTGATCCCCAACAACACAGGTATGTTTGTCCATTCGGTTTTGGTTACTAATGTGCCTTCTGTGCTTGTAGCAGATACTCCAGCATCCCAAGCGGAAGTTCCAGTTGCGGGGAAGAGAAGAGAGATTGGCAGTCCTCAGAATGAACTGAGAAAGTAAGGAGTGGCCCCTAGAGAGAGATATGAGGAGGAATTAGAGAGAATATGGGAGATGATATGTGAGTTGTTGGAGGAGTACAAAGTAAAGGAGGAGGAGTTAGATCAAAGGGAGAGAGCAGAAATTTCTCAAAAGAAGGACTACCACAGAAGTCCTAAGTTGGGGGGAGGGGAGGCAAAAACTAATGCATCATCTAGGAAGGCTGAGGGTAATAGTAAAAGGAAAAAGAAAAAGAGATCAGAAGTGGAGTGATTGATTTCAGATATTGAGGGTGACATTGAATTTAGTGGGAGAGGGGAAAGAAGAAAGATTCCGCTGTAAGGTGGAATTTTTTGGGAAGGGTTTTTTGAAAAGAAGTGTTCAATGAAAATCATCAGCTGGAATGTGAGAGGACTGGGAAGTGAAAGAAAAAGAAGGGCCATCAAAGACTTACTAAGAAGAGAGAAACCGGACATAGTGTTGATACAGGAGACCAAGTTGGCAGAAATGGATAAAAGGTGGGTGAGAAGTGTATGGAGATTAAGAGGAGTTTGTTGGACATTGGTCCCTTCCTAGAGAGCCTCTGGAGGTCTAGTAACGTTATGGAGGGAAGAGGTGGTAGAATTAGTGGAGGAGCTAATAGGGAGATTCTCTGTGTTTGTAAAGGTCAAGAATGTGGGGGATGGATTTACTTGGGTTCTAACCAATGTCTATGGGCCAAACACTTATAGAGAGAGGAATGAGATGTGGGAAGAGTTGTATGGAATACGAGGCTTATGGGAGGGTCCTTGGTGCCTTGGGGGGATTTCAATGTAATTAGGTTATGTAATGAAACTAATAACCCCCAAAGAACAGTTACTACCAGCATGAGAAAGTTCAATGAATTTATTAGTGACTGTGGCCTAAAGGAATTACCTCTCTTACAAGCCAACTTTACTTGGTCTAATTTCCAAGAAAACCCTCTTTGTTCGAAATTAGATAGATTCCTCTTTAATAATGATTGGGAGAGTCATTGGAGAAACTAGATGGCTAGAGCATTACCCAGAGTTACTTCTGATCACTGCCCTATTCAGCTAAGTTCTGAAACAATAACCTCTGGTCCATGGCCTTTTAGATTTGAGAATATGTGGCTGACTCACCCGGACTTTGTGCATCTGATTGGGGAGTGGTGGAGAG